TGGAGAAGTGGCCAGGGTCCTTAGTACTGTGACGCCAGCCACCTGTTCTTAAGACCCATGCCCCTCCTGGCTTGAGAAAGCAGCCCAGGGGGTGTTGAGTGGGTGGGTTCTGGCAATGGTGAATTCTTTGAGTGAGGGGGTTGTTCCTGCACCTCTAAAGGAGGCTTTGGTTCGTCCCCTCCTCAAGAATGCATTGCTGGACCTCACCATACTGGACAATTTTCATCCAGTATCCAACCTCCCCTTTTGGGGGAAGGTGATTGAGAAGGTGGTTATGCAGCAGCTTCAAAGGACCTTGGATGAAGTGGATTATCTGGACCCATTTTAGTCAGGGTTCAGACCTGGGTATGGTACAAAAACAGTATTGGTTGTGCTTTTGGATGATCTCTGGCATGGGCAGGATGGTGGTTGTGCATCCAATCTTGCCTTACTTGACCTCTTGGTGGCTTTCAATACCATCAACAATGGTATCCTTCTGGACCAACTCAGAGAATTGGGGGTGGACAGGACAGTATTGTGCTGGTTCGCCTCCTTTCTCCAGAGTCAGTTCCAGTCGGTGGTGATTGGGAGGAGAGATCCCGCCGCCGCTGCCACCCCCTGCTATGTGGGGTGCTGCAGGGGGCGGTGCTCTCACCTCTCCTATTTAACATCTACCTGAGACCACTGGGTAAGCTCATCTGTCGCCATGGGGTGAGGTATCATCAGTATGCTGATGATACTCAATTGTACATCTCCGCCCCTGGTGACTTAAGAGATGCTGTGGGCATCCTATCTCAGAGTCTGAAGGCTGTGAGGATCTGGATGGGGAACAGCAGGCTTCAACTGAACCCTGGCAAGACTGAGTGGCTTTGGGTTTTGAGCCCCTCCGGTTCTAGGATTTTACCATCTTTGGTACTAGATGGGGTCACACTGCCCCAAACAGACCCTGTGCGCAATCTGGGGGTCCTCCTGGACTCACAACTCCTGCTCAAAGAGCAGGTAGCAGTTGTGGCTAGGAGAACCTTTGCACAACTTTATATTGTGCACCACTTGCACCCATTCCTAGATCAGAGGGACCTACTCACGGTCACTCATGCCCTGGTCACTTCCCGGTTACTGCAATGCGCTCTACATGGGGCTGCCCTTGAAGAGCATCCATAAACGTCAGCTGATACAAAATGCAGCGGCGTGAGCAGTTATGTGTGTTTCTAGAGGAATACACGTTACACCTCTGCTTCGTGAGCTGCATTGGTTACCAGTTTGTTTCCAGGTCCAATTCAAGGTGCTGGTGTTGGTCTTTAAATCCTTTCATGGCATGGGGCCAAGATATCTGAGGGACCACCTCTCCCCGATTTCATCTGCCCATCCTACCAGATCCAGCAGAGAGGGGATGTTATGGGTTCCATCATCTAGGGAGATACATTTGGCAGGCCTCAGGTAGCGGGCCTTTTCTGCTGTGGTGCCTGCACTGTGAAATCTTCTCCCCCCTGAGGTGAGACTAGCCTCATCATTGTTGAGCGTCTAGAAGTCCCTTAAGACTTGGTTATGCCAGCAGGCCTGGGGACTCCAGGGGACGGGGGAATTAGTGAGGTGGCTCCCTTATTTTTAACTTCCTTTTATTTTTTGTTTTATTTTGTTTTATATATTTTTAATGTATCTTACTGTTTTTAGCTTTGTTGTATGCCACCCAGACTCGCCTGTGGTGATATGGGCAGCTATATAAATTGATTAAATAAACAAATAAATAAATAAATAACATTACCAATAGCAATTAAATAACAATGCACACTTAAGAACTTTTATTAATGAACTCCAAGCCATGAACAGACTAAGTGTACAACTGCTCAAATAGCCAGGCTCTTGAGCCATAGCAAGAGACAGAAATAGTGCATATCAGAATGAACAAGTGAGATATTGTACGGTAAAGCCTGTCTCTTAAAGATGCAATCTATTGCAGGGAGTCTCCCACTCTATTGTACTGACAAGCAAATGGCTCTAATGCTTGATGAATACATGAGGCAACCTGAGTTTTACACTGTATAACTTTTTGAAATGATTTTTTTTTCTACTTGTGTCCTGGAATGGACAGGCTGATTTGATCCCTATCATTAAATAAAGTCTCTTTTGAGATGGACACATCTGCATAGTTTTTTGGCAACTGTTCTATTGCCTTCTCTATTTTTCCAACTGTCAAGTCTAGCCTATATCCCTAGTATTCTCCAATTGTTTCCTATCCAAGTACAAACCAAGCCCAATCTTAGTTTCTAAGCCTAGGCAAGATTAGTCAGGTGCTACAACCAACTGAGATTCAAAGATATTACTCAGACACAAACTCACTAGATAGCCCTCTCATTAATTTGCAATCTAAATTCCTCACACCTTATTAAGTTGTTGCTACGACAAAATAAATACTTCTATATGCATCCTGAACTTCTTGGAGAAAATGTATAATACAATAAATAAATTCTTATTATCAGATTTAAATAATTACATATTATGGTTCATGATTCATTTCCAATTTTGTTTCAAATCCTAGATACTCATCTTGTCTTCTTCTGTTTCAAACACACAACTACTATTCCCAACCCTATCCAAGGGTCTATTAGTATGCTTCTAACAGAAAATAGGCAAACATCTGTTCTATTCAGAAGTAACAATAAGCTCTAGGTTATTGTAGGCAACCTTTTCAGGCTGTCAGAAAAAGTCTTTGGGAGCCACACAAGTAGGCCAGGCTGGTGTGGCCAAAATACAATATGCAGAGATTTAAATAATCTTGCTCTCTCTCTTACACGCACGCACACACACACACGCACACTCATATACAGGCACCCAGACACAGGATTGCTGAGAGGAAAGATGACATTAAAATCTCCTTAGCATGATTTTTATTTCTCACTGATGGGTAGTAGAGAAAAGTACCTGGAAGTAGGGCAACTGGCCAGATCAAGAAAAAGCAGCTGAAAGTTGACCATATTGTTAAGGAATCAAACTGCAGTTGCTGGAGGCTTGCAAGTCCCCTACACACCCTACCCCATCCCATCAAGTGTGGCTTTCACTTTTTTTAAAAATTAACTACCAACTGTCATAATTTCCTATACAACAGACCAAAGTTAATGATTAATTATAGTTTACTGAATCAAGCCAATTTAAAACTTCAGTTCAATTTGGGTTTGCACACAAATACTAACTATGATTAATTAAAAAAGGAGGAAAATATTTCTAATCTGCTTCATGTTGTTGTGCTATGTCTGTTATGTAAAAGACAACATTTGAGCCTATGGCTCACTGTGGCTTGCATCACTACTAACAAACCATTTTATATTCCAAACACAACTATAATCTTAATATTGTATTGGTATATCTTTAATTTCAAATACAATTGTTAAATGGGTATAGATTAAAGATCAGGATTAGGGTTGCAGCAGTTACGGTAGATTTTACTGTAGCCTCCTCAGCAACCTGCAATGGCACAAAATGATGACTTGCATGTCATCTTGTAAAATGATGACACAATTATAATGATCATTTAGCAAACTTATATAGCCGTCCATCTTAACCAAATATCTGAGGGCAGCTAGACAATTAGGCAATCACTCAAGTTTACAATTATGTATTACATTAGGATCATTTGCTGTTCTTTCTTTCTTTAGGCCATCCCGCTCACAAATTCAATTGGGTTTAAAAAAAAAAAAGCAGAGACACATGCGTTCATATTCTTGTATGTCTTATTCTTTCATTTCCTGTTTAATTCCTTGCTCTAGCAGATCACTAATATAATTTTTAATTACCTCTGTAGTTGTCCCAATATCAGCTGATGGACTACATGTACTGGTATCCAGTGGAGCAGTCCCAATACTACTTTTAACAGGTGAAACAGGTGGTACAGGTCCTGAAACAGATTCTGTATGTGCCAGAGACTGATGGAAAATTCCTTTCTTTTGAATCTTATTCCAAACTTTCTTCATTAAATCTGTTAGTTCATATAGCAATTGCACCTTAAATAAATAAATAAATAAATAAATAAATAAATGTATGTATGTATGTATGTATGTATGTATGTATGTATGAATGAATGAATGAATGATGTCAATTTAATAGATCGCTGAATATCAACATTCTACAAATTCAAGTTTATACAGTAGAAAAATAATACATTTGTCATTGCCTTATTAAAACATATGGGAAAGGTTTTTGCATAAAAAAAATCAAACCTACATAGGTAAGGCTGTAAGAGCTACATCTCCTCTTGTACAATTTAACTTTTAGTTTTAATGAATAAAGACTTTGTTTAGTTTCTGGAATATTTCACAGACTTCTACAGAAGCTGCCACCTCAATGGCAACTGAAACATCTGAAGTTCTAAAAACAAAAATAACCTAATTTGTAAGATACAGGAGCATTCATTTTCTGTCATAGATGTGAAAATAGTCTCTATCCACAGAAGAAAAGAATCAGCATCTTACAGAACTATCTCCTGGGATATGACATTTAACTATTCAGAAAACATTCTGTATAACTTACATACTGCATTGCTCAACTCAGATCTAAAGTACTTCTGCAAAATACTTCATAAATAAGCATTAATCATGTAACTTGTCATATAGCATATAAAAAATTCCATGGAAATTGCAAGCACAATATATAAGCATATCCACAGCTGGATGCCATACCCAGCTTGCCATTATGGAAAAAAAAATTTTTTTTTTCATATTTAATGAAGAAGTTTCAGCCTCAGGACATATCCAGAGAATGACGTTGGCTTCTAATGTGGGCAAAACAGATGCAGGAAAACATTGCTGTCTGTCCAGTTTTGATATAAAACAGAACTTGATTTGTGGATATGAGAACATAATTTATCCTCAGAGATCTGCCTCAGCTGCTTTTGTATTGATACAACATTGGAGAATTTCCTTACACTCTGCAAAATTTACATTAATATTTTAATGTTTTAATTTAAACTTTTCATACATGTGTTTATGTGCAAATGTGTGTTAAGGAAACATTCCCATATCATTCATATTCTTAATAACTTAGTAATTTTAACCTTTTTCCCTGTCAGTATTTAGTAATAAAGTCATAAATCGAAACTGGCATACATGGGTGATGATACCTCACAGATCCAATAAAGTAAAATCTCAATTCAATGGACCATGGGGCAGAGGGGTATCTGCTAAAGCCAAATGCCTCTTAAATCCACTTCTCCATCATTGGCTTCAATTTATATAATGATGCAAATGACATGAACAAATGTGAATCATCCAGACTATTACAGATGCTATGAAATTTGTGCATTCTCTTCTGGTGATGTCTAGATGGAAAGCGTGTCTATTATTTATTTACTTATTTATTTATTCATTCATTCATTCAATTTGTATGGCCGCCCATCTCAGCAAGTGACTCTGGGCAGCAAACAAAATTAAAAATATTTTTTTAATATATCAAAAATTCACCAACTAAGGTCCATTAAACCAAGGATTCACTAAATGGTTAAAGCTGAAAGTTCCTCCCCCGTCTCTGCTTTACTTTGATAACCTGATTGAGTGTCAATAACCCAAAAGGAGTGCGGTGGCACTTTTCCCGACTACCGAATTTTATTAAAAGACTTCATCAGATGCATCGAGCGGCTGGACTGATTTAAGATTTAAACTGGCGTGAGATGAGGGGAAGGAAGGGGAAGATAGGCTGGTTATGCAGATGCAGGTTATGTGTGACACAGATTACAAGTATCTTATCAATTAACAATTGTAAGGGGTTAAAAAGTCATTCTGTTTGTTGACACTTGAGATTGCCTGAAACCTTTTGATGAATGGGAGTTCAGCAATTTTTCATTCAGTGGTGCTTTTAAAGTTCTTTTTTTCCAAAACTGTCACTTTGAGGCCTGCCATATAGTGTTCTGAGAGGCTGAAATGCTCTATTATTTTGTCCTTCTTTTGAGTCCTGATGTGAAACTTGTCTCCATTAATTCCTTTGCACAAAGTTTGTCCCATCTGTCCTATATAAAACCTGGAGGGGCACTGGCAGATATCACGCTGGAGAAAGAGCATGTGAAGGTGCCCCTAATCTTATGTGTGTACTTGTTGGGGTCTGTCATGGTGCTGCTGGCGCAGATGTAGAAGCAAAGGAGACATCTGGGTTTGTGGCAGGGAACGTGCTGATGCCATGTTGGCATCATTGTTCTGTTGTTTCTTGCTGCTTATAAGATTCTGCTTCAGGTTGGGTTGTGGTCTGTATGCAAATATACCACCCACCACTTAAGAAAGCGCAGTGTCGTTGCCCAGAATGGGCTGTAGCTTATTAATAATGTGTCTGAGCGGCTTGAGCTGTGAGCTGCAGGTAACAACTACTGGTGTTCTGATGTTCTCTTTCTGGGGTATGGCTTTTAATAGTTCCTCCCTGGGAAATGATCTGGGTCTACTGCTTTGTCAATTGATGTCCTTGGGTGGGAAGCTCAATTTTCTGAAGGCCTAGTTTAATTCCATCAGTTAAACATCTCTGTCAAGTGGGTCAGAGCAAATGTGATTGCAGTGTAGAGCCTGAGTACAACTAAACCAACATATATAAACCAGAGTCACTTTGCTACCTGCAGTATAACCTGACAAGCCTACCCCCTTCTTGCAATCCCTATTTTCCTGGAGAAAATATTGTGCAAAGTGTCATTGCACTCTAAAAAATGGCCGTATGAAAAATGAATTGTATGAGAAAGATCTGTTCATGGTTAGCCTGACAAAGAGAAAGTGGAGGGGGAAACACACTGAACAGTATTAAACTCTATGGTTACGTATAAAATAATACTGTTTGTTGACTAATAAAAAGCCAGAGTTATTTTTGGAATGATTCTGGTAAAATGATCTCTGCCTGAAAAATATCAATATGACAGGAAAATTATGAGATGTCTAACTATGTGTCACATTTTTAATCAAGTCATTTTCAGATAATACAGCAAGAGAACAGAATCACAAATTGCATTTCACCTACAAACTGTGTTTCACCTGCAGCACTTATTAATTTCAGTAACATTTTATTGTTATAAATCCTGCTTTTTCTTTGAGTTTCCTTAAGGCAAAAGTAGAAAAGCAAGCCTAAGGGTATTTTGGTGCCAGATAATTAAGATATGCTTAAAATACATGTCAGCAAATACGTTTTGTTATCCACACTGGATGTGAATTCATATAGATTAAAGTTTAGGGATCTGTATCTGAGCCCTAGTTCACACAACATAGGTGAAGAACAGTTATAAGACAGTCAACTTCTACCCTATTCAAATTTCATAGGAGAATTTCAGCTCTGCATACATGTTTTATGATAGCACATAGTACACATCCTCTCAGTTTGGTCCAAACTTTCATTTTTGGCCAAGTGAACCACAAACGCTAATTTACATTTTGACAAGTATTCAGTGGCAGCTTAAAGCAGTTCCATATGAGCTAAAGATAAAGTTTATATTAAGCTGAGGAATCAATCACTTGGATATTCCTGCCTTAAGACACTAACATTTAATGCCCCTCTTTCTTTGGAAAAGGTACATTGAAAAGAGCTGCTTGCCAATATCTCAGAAAATTATTTCTTAAACTTGCGATAGAGGGATAACGGGTTCTTTTTGCATGTTGATTTTGTGAAATAATTTTTTGAGTCATCTTCTTGGACTGAATTAGCTTATGGTAGCAGCAGCAGCAACATTCAGTACAGGCAGTCTCTGTTTAGCAACTGACTTGTTTAGCGACTGTTCACAGTTACAACAATGATGAAAAAGTAACTTTGCGACCAGTCCTTGCATTTATGACATTTGCAGGTCTGTAAAGCAAAGGAAAACTGAAGATCATAAGCACAGTCACCGTTTCACTTAGTGACTGCCTTGCTTACTGACCAAGTTGCCAGTCCCAACTGTGGTTGCTAAATGAGACTACCTGTACGCCCTTTCTCTTAAAACAAGCTCAAAAGAGAAGGACCAGGGAGTATTTCCTATTTCCTCTGTTCATATTTTAAATGGCCATTTAACCAACTTGATCTCTATTATCCAACTATCGTGAGTTTACAGCTATTGCATTTTACTTAACCATTAGAGATACCTTTTAAAAGTTGGCAAAGAAAGGGAGAACATTTTCCATACAGCAAGAATTTATTCTGCGCTATATTGGTTCTCTGTATAATACTTAATATCAGGAGGTTAGGGGTTTTCTGTTTTTTACTTGTTTGAAGAACTGCTTGCCTTACATTGTTAGGTGCTTTTAGCAACTTTTACAATTACTCTTGCACATAAGAAACAATTGAATGGTAAGAGGCAGAAACTTTGGTCTCACTCCATTCATCTGACTGGAACAGCTTCAGGATAGCAGGTTTCATTAAAAAGAATTTGCCAGAACCACTATAGATTTAATTCTGGCTCACTGCTAACCAATATATAGTGTAATTCTACTAATGTTTACTATTGGGGCCTGAAGTGGTGATGTATACAGGTTCCTCCTATGGGTAGAATGTCAGGAAGACTCAGACAAGGTAGTTATCAGTCCTGGTGAGCTGGAAATTGTTTACTGTGCTGTGATTATATCAGACCTATGCAAGATAAATTATATGACCAGCTACATCACAATCATCAACTTTGTGACAACCTAAAATTAAATTTGGGAGCCAGTTTGGTGTAGTGGTTAAGGTACCAGGCTAGAAACCGGGAGATTATGAATTCTAGTCCTGCCTTAGGCACAAAGCCAGTTGGGTGACATTGAGTCAGTCCTTCTCTCTCAGCCCTAGGAAGGAGGCAATGGCAAATCACTTCTGAAATCTTGCCCAGAAAACTACATGGACTAGTCCAGGCAGCCACCAGAAGTCAAAACTGACTCAAAGGCACCACATATATATATTATATTTTATAGGAATACATTTGTTATATAATGATACACAATTTTGCAAAATGATCAGTCCTCTAATGTTGGTCTTAACAGATGAATGCCAATCAGACCAGAACCAAAATAGGGCGAGTGAAAAAAAAGAAGAGGGAAATATCAGCAGGAAATGCTAAATATTTGCAAAGCTACAAAAACAAAACTGCACAGAGCAAAAATCCAAAAATTTGGGTCACAAGACTGAGTAACCTTGGGAGGCATGAAATGTTGATGATCAGCTGGAAAAGAGCAAAGCCGAAAACAGAAAGGGTGAAAGGATGGAATGTCCTGGATGAGATAATGGCTGACTGAAACTGGAAGTGTTATTAGAAGGTTATTCTATAGTGCAACATTTTGTAAAGTTCTCTCACAATCCAGTTCTTCCTATCAACACCACTCTCATCTTGAGCATGTGATCTGGAACACAACTGTGAACGAGGAAACCACTCAATGTTACATTTTTAATCTCAATATAAACTATTATCATTTGTTATACAGAGACACTGGATCACAGCTGCTCCATACTTTATGTGACAAGTCTTTTTGCTTTGATTCCCCATGCATTGCACAAGTATTTATTGCTGAAAACTAACAGAATATAAATTCAAGCTGCACTTCTCCAAGAGCCTGCTGAAATATAAGTTGATAAGTCATAACAACTTGTAACTCTACCTCTAAACCAGGAACATGTCCATTGAATCAAGTTTCTGTAATATCTTTTTAAAATATCCTTTGGAATACTTTAAAATGTTTCTCACCTTTTCATTGGGAATTACTAGCTGAAGACATGGCAAATTTCAAGATTCAACAAAATCTTTGAGAGAAAAAATGATCCACAGAAAGCTAAAGTCATATGATAGTATTTATTGCTCTGGAATATTCGGCTGGCAGCCTGCTCCTTACCCCTTCAAATTCTGTGATTTATGTGCTTTTAAATTGACTGATCTTGTATTCAGTCTTTATTCAGGGGACTGTTTCTACTTTTTCTCCTTCTCTTTTTGTAATTACTGAATGGCACTGGTGTTTTATTTGAAATCATTCTGTGCATTTTAAAGTTTGTTTTTATGTTTGATTTATGGTTAACCACTTTGAGTGTCTGCATGGTTGGAAAAAAAGAGGGAAAATATTTATATAAATAAAGTTATTTCCTATTGCCCTCATAGAAGGTATCTTTACTTTAGTTGAAAGAATTTAATGCTTAATGACAGCAGGTATGTGTGTTAATTTCTACAAAGAGTACATTAATTTATTTCAGCAAATGTATCCACAGTGACAGCAAAGCAGGGCCCCAACATTTAACAATACATCTGCAAGTGATTTCATTCCATCAAATCCAAGATGCACTTATGTGCTATAGCTATTACACTTTGAGATGAATCTAAATTACAAAACATGAAAGAGCTTCAAAGCAAATCTTAATCTAAGTACTCTGATCTTGATGGCTCAGTTTTTATAGGAAAGAAAGATGCTTAAAAGAAAGAAATAATTCTTATAGAACCAGAACAATAATACTTAAATCAAGCAATTTAATTTGTTCCAGTAAATTAAATGCACCAACCTGGGGATTTGAGCATTTCACTTCAAGTGATTCAAGGTCAACATGAAGACATACAACAAATGAGTGCCTCGATTCTGATCCTGCCGTGGGCAACACTTGAGAAGTCACTGCCAGAGTAGAAGTGCAGCCAACAGGTTCTATGATGTTAAGGGTCACCTGCTGTCCCAGAAGAGTATAGATGCTAAAATAATTCAGACTGATTGTCCAAGGGAAAGCATCTCCTGGTTAATCAAGAAGAAAGCAAAAGCAAGGGTAAAATACATAAAGAAATCATTCCGAATTTATCCCCACATAAAACTAAATAAAAATTGTTTCTGGATTATTCCTTCACAAAAGTAATAAAAGTCTAGTTCTAGTATCTAGTGATACTATTCAGGAGCACATTCTATGTTATGTAACACAGAAGTGCTAAGTTCCTTCTCACATATAATACATATCATGCAATACACACATCAAGAATATGTGCAATTATATTCTTTGTTTTGCATCTATCTACACAATATTGTGGTCTCTGTTGGGTTTAATAGCAATAAGCATCCTGAGCAAATTTAAATTACTGTTTTGGCAGAACATTTGAACCTATCTCTCTTATATGAAGTTTAACATTAATTTGGCTTTTGCTGGATCATGCCCTTTGATGTTTAACTTTTACCAGAAGAAATCGTTTTCATTACTAGGATTTAGAAACAGATAAAGTATCTTAAATGTTACTTTGAGTAACACATAAGCTAACAGTGTAGTCACCAGCCTTCATGCAAAAGAAATAAAGGAAAAAGTAATCTATTCCATTTTCCAAACGTTATTTTGTTTAGTTGTGGCAGGTGTGTATGTGGGTGTGTTTTAAGAAGAGCAATTGTATGTTCTTAAGACTGTGAGAGGAAGCATGATATTCTGGGTGAGTGATAATTCAGTTCTGTTAAAGAAGAGCTCAGATATGATGACTCTTGGTTCATATGTATGACAGCAAAAGATGCTTAGCTAAAAGATGCTTGGTTGAAAAATGCATATATTTTTTTTGAAGAAAAAAAACTTTTTTTTTTCAAAATCTTCAAAAAATTTTGAAGAATAATTTTGAAGAAAATTCCCAATTAGGAAATTTGTGCAAATGCAATGAACAAAACACTATGATTGTTACTATAGCTGTATCTCCAATACTGAATGAATGAATGAAACAGAACTAAACTGGCAGCCAGTTCCGTGAAGTTCTTGCATCATCTCTGAATCTAATCACAGTTGAAGAATTATTAAGTTCTTTCCAGTATTTGTTGAGACCGTGAAACTACCCTTGAGCTTACATATAAATGTCTCATTTCTTGGCATTCCCTGTTGCCTTTCTTAGCCTCACTTCATCTCCTAGATCAACGGTTCTTAAACTGTTTGAACAATTAATACTTTTCCCAGGCTCAATTAATGTCATTATCCTCACAAAAAATAAAAATAAACAAAAAACCAGACTCTATTGTTTTATACAAGTGTCTCAACAGCGGCAGTCCCAAACTGGATCCTCAACTCACAAACAAGCAATTACAAATTGCTCCATTTCCCTCAAAATATGCCCAAATTACCCTAATCTCTTGGAGGTAATTACCCCTAGTTCAAGAACCACTGTCCTAGATGTTTCTTATGATTATTATCCACTACTTCTGCTCTATTTCTGGCATCTAATTTCTAAACTTCTGGAGCCAGAGAACATAATTCCTTTTCATGATCTTTTGTCTTCCTACCCCACAATAATTCACTTGTTTAAAGAATATTAAATATTCTGATAAAGCTCTCACTGAAGCAAAATCTGAACTTTACAAATATCATAACTGGCTGCCAGCTCTTTTACTACTTCTTGTTGGCACCTGCCTGAAAACACATCCCTTGTATGTGAGTATTGTCAGGATTTTCATTCTCATGGGAAAGGATTCGTCCTGTTATCTTTACAACAATAACAAATAATATTTTGGCTACAGAGATCATGTGAAAAACACCTGTTATTGTGTGTTGTGTATTGTGCTATTTACTGCCACCTATTGGCGTGTGTATGCTAGTTAAGCGATTTTGTTAAGTGTGTGTTGCTAATAAGTCTTGGATGCTACATTAAATGAGAAGATGTGTTTTTCTTTATATTTTGTATGATATTTGCATTTTATGGAATTTTGCGTGTGTATGCTAGTTACCCAGTGGGGGTGGCATAGAGCTATAATACAAGGAGAGGAAAATGTGCAGCCTCTCTGAGTAGTTGTTAGTTGTTTTAGTGTTAGCCACTATGTAGGTTTTATGGGCTACGTAGTTGTAACAAAGTACCAAGTAGTGTACCTTTTCTCTAAGAGTTTGTAGCTAGCGATTTTGTTAAGTGTGTGTTGCTAATAAGTCTTGGATGCTACATTAAATGAGAAGATGTGTTTTTCTTTATATTTTGTATGATATTTGCATTTTATGGAATTTTGCAGCGATTTTGTTAAGTGTGTGTTGCTAATAAGTCTTGGATGCTACATTAAATGAGAAGATGTGTTTTTCTTTATATTTTGTATGATATGTGCATTGTAGGGAATTTTGCATTTTTATCAATAAACACCAGTTAGTATATAGTTTTTGACTGGATTTCTTTGGGAAACAAGAAATGGACATTGCATTGTGTTTGCTTTCATGGCTAATATTTTCCTGGAGTTTTTGTTGCGCTCTGCACAGACAGGAGTGTTTGTGATTATCACTCTGCCCGACAAGTATTGTCAGTAGCACTGAGACCAATTATTCTAGTGATCAAGCAAGAAATGAAGAATTCTGTGAAACTCCTATCTAACCTCTTAAGCAAATTGTCATTACTGGATAGTTTTCAAATGGTGATTCCATGGATCCTTACTAATAGTTCAGCCTCTCTTTGGTCTTACGATCACTGAATGTAGCGTTACTGTTGGAGAAAGGTATTTCTTTGGCTTATCCAGTGTTCTAGAAGATGCCTAACAAGTTTGAAATATTTGACTTTGTAATCTTCACATTCAACTACAACTGAGCTTTTTTTAATTCACATGGCTCACTAATCTCAGAATATTTCCATCCCACTGTATCCCTAGTACTTCCATCTACTCCATACTTGATAAGTGCTACTTCCACCTCTTTTCACAATTGCGCCAGTTCACTTGCTAAGGAGAGAATACAGTTGTATCTCTACTTACGAAATTAATCCGTTCCGTGACTCTGATCACAAGTCGAGTTGGTCGCAAGTCGAAGTAAATTTTCCCATAAGGTTCAATGTAAATACCGTTAATCCGTCCCGGCACCCACAGACCACACGTCAGGGGCGGAAAAACGGCCGCTG